GTAATTTCCAGGGAAACTGGTTCCCGAAACGTTTAAAAGTTCGCCTTTTACGGTTCTTGTATGTCGCCATTAGGCCATCTTAATATCCAAAAACGACAAGTTTTAATACAAATTTGAGCTGTTTCGAGCAGCCATGTTTCTTGTTTATTTTGAAAGACTAGATCCAGGCACTCTCAAACAAAGGGATATTTTAGGATTTTTTAGGATATTTGCGATATTTTTAGTCTTGATAAAATTGGCCAATAATGAACACCGTAGCCCCGATGCACGTGCGAATCACGTTCTGAAGGGGTAATATGACGGTGACTTCAAAATAAGGTTTCCGTTTTTATAACGTAGAAAAAACTATCCTAACGCAAAGCTAAACCCTAATACTAACCCCAACCCTAACCCTAACCTAACCCTAACTTATTTTAAAAATTGGAAAAAGAACAGAAACTTTATTTTGAAGTATACTATCTAGCAATTGCCGTAATTATGACCTTTAGATCGATTTCCGACGATTCCCGAGTGCCAGGATGTTTCAATATGTCAAGGTGGTCAAGTGTATTTCCGGCAGTGAACTCTAATAATAACTGGAAGGCTAAGTCAGGGGGGGAGTTGAAGCCGTGCTTGAAGCTTTTTTTGTAGGTAGACCCAGTCCTTTTTACATTTTTTTTTCAAAATATGCACATTTTTCGATCAGAAAAATCTTGCCCCAAAATATTAGTTATACTAGGAGTTACTATCGCAAGGAAAGTGCTGCCTCACCCCCAAGGGATCAAAGGCAGCATGCACAATTTACCGAATACGTAAGGGGCTGTTTATATGATTTGCCAGGACGAGATATGAGGTGGGATGATCTCAATATTTTTCCGAATCGTCATCATCCAATGAACCCTGGATTCCTGCCTTCACTGTCGTCTCAGATTTCTTCTCTGAGCTCGCTTTACTTCTTGTCTGGTAAGCGACAGCCTCGTTTCTCTTGTCACTACAGTTATGGCGCACAATTCAACAAAAGACTACATTATTTTCAAGAGATTCAGATAGATTATAGGTAACTGTAAATGAATGGTTGTTCAGGCAGCGATAATCAGGGGCTTCAGCAATGGGGCTTCAGAAGCGAGGGGTCAGGGGGCTGCCGCACCCCTACTTTTTTAGTTGGGGGCTAAATGTCCTTGGGCCCCCCACTTTTTAACAATGGTCGGTAATAAACCACAAAGTTAAATGATATTATTTTAGTTACCTGTGTAGACAAAACAATTAGAGATATTTTATGATATCTTATACTTACTTTTGTATGTATAATTATAATACTGTCTGTGGCAATGCTAGCTATAGCAACAGCTAGGTCATGCTATGCAAATTTATTATTTGCATTATTCAAATGATGTAGGTTTATTAGCATATCATGACCAGTTGCCATGGTTAGCTTGCCACTGAATACTGTATAATATCATATATAGAAATACTAAGTCATTTTTTGTCCCAAATATTGTTTTAATGGCACCTTCATGGCTACCCTTGTTGACATTTTTGTTTAATTAATACATCAGCTTCAGATGACACTATTCATTGTAATGATTAAGATTGTACTCAGTCAGAACTGCAAAACTATATAATAAGAAAAAAATTTTGAGCATTATCGAAAAATATAGTATACTATATATTATGCTAACAATGGACATATCATATCATATCATGCAAAGAAATTAACTTTGTCCTTGGTTGGCTACAAGAAAATGGCTTTGAACGATTGAAGAGAATTTCTGAAGGAAAGAAAAACTTTGTAATTCCAAAATTACAAAATGCTGTAGCTTCTAATTCATACATGGGGTGGGGTATTTGAACTCCAATTTTTCACAATATGTGGTGTATTTGAACCGGAATTACAAATATATGTAGGAAATTTGACCTGACCAAAACGTCAAAATCCAATTTTTAGTTGACAAGCCACCTTAAGTATGGGACTCCAAGGAGGTTCGTTTGGCTGTATCTTACATGCAGTATCCATAAGTATGAGTACTTCCGCACACCGGAAGACGCATGCATGCCGTGGTGCGCATGTCAAGTAGCGACAATAACAAAAAAATGTAAACAATACCTAAAGGTGGCTTTTCGACTAAAAAATTACTGTAGGGCCACTTTAACCACACGTAAAAATTGAGAAAATCAACAACTTGTTGCAAGTTGATATCGACAGGCGTGAACAAGGTTGTGCGGCCCAGTATGAACAGTATTGTCAACATGTTGTTACAACATTGTTCAACTGTAACAACTGTCAACTTGGAACAACATGGTTGACAACTTGTTCATAGTTGGCCGCACAACATTGTTCATGCCTGTCGATATCAACTTGCAACAACCTGCGCGTTTTTAGCCGTGTCATTTGCCATTCTCAGCAACAGTGGAATACAGTATAATGTAGCATGACATTTGAGTATAAAAAATTGTATAAAATGACACTATAGCTTGACTAAAACGTCAATAGTTTTTGCCTCAATGGGCTTTATAGTATCGTTATTGTGTGCATCAAAAGGATTCACATGTGTTGTAGTTGTTTTCGCATGCACTACAGCTGGCATATTACGTGTGTCGATCACAGATCACATATCTCATAAGGAAACATGTTCGTACAGCATGAAACACCGACAACTTTAGGTAAGGTATCTAGATATACAGACATAAATTCGACACCAGGTTCTAAGACAACAAAGCCATTATCCAGAGCTTGCAAGTACATTTTGTCTCCTTGTAATAAGACATTATTGATTCAAATCTCATTCAATGTTGTTTTTAATAACCAATCGATCAGTGAGATATTTTGAGCAGTTAAAAGTGCCGATATTAACAGATAAAAGCGCATTGTTTGCCTCTAGATTGAACACTAAAAAGATCATCGCCTTGATGTATATAAGAAGAAAGAAATAGAGCCATACTTACCTGAATTTTTCCCGATATTTTCGATTTCTTGCATCCGTATTTAAAAGCTTGAAAAATCTTGAGCACATGGAGATGCGTGCGCAATACAAATCTTGTTTTGACCGCTCCCCTCATTTAACAAACGTCCCTGAAGCTTTTAATTATTCCCCCCGGATTACGACATCTTTACAGACGGACACAAGTCGAGATGTCGACTATACATAGATCGCGCGAAAGACTGGGTCGAGAGTGGACTCTGGAGCAACCACCAAGTGTCAAGAATAGTGTGCTGCCTCGCTACGCTCGGCAGCAACTACCAAATTTAATTTATATCAGTAGTATTACAGCCTCGTCCCCGGCGCTTTGATGTTGCGTGACGCGCGCGCGGGAGGACACGCGTGGGGGGAAAGGAAAAATTCGGAGCGAAGCGCCTGGAAGAAAATGCTTTCAAGATGGCGGACAAAACAAGTGATTTGCATTTTTGTCTTGACAACGATAGTGAAGATGGTCAGTATAAACAGGTAAACATTTTAAAATTCAAATTACTATTTTAGTATTTCATGGAATTCTTGAAAAAATGTTGGGAATATGTGGTAGACTTTATTTTTTAGGAAATAAGCCACAAATATTTATGTGTGGTTGTAGATATAAAACCTTTTTGTATTTACTGTAACTTTATGCGATAATTTCATCCCTCAATCCCGAAATTAAATGGTTGCACAGTACAGGTATGTCAAGAGATGAAACTATGATGTGCTAGTATATTAAATTGGGAATTAAGGTTTTACATATTTAGTCAAGGGTTTTGTTATGCATGAGCTTGTGGTGAGGCCACTATCTGTTGTATATTAGTTTCTCATCCCCGCCCGCGTGCTTTTTAAGAAAATTGTCTTGTTCGCCATTATTGCCATTATTGCCATTTTTGACCATTATTACAAATTTTGTGATGTCTTCAAAATTATATTTGAAAGAAAGACATGCAATTAGAAACGTTCCCAAACCAAAAGTTTTAGTTAAGATACGAAATTTCATACCAATTGCAAAACTGCCAGTTTCTCTCGCATTTACGTAAAAGTTCTACCGAAAGCCAGGGGCAGGGATAAAAACGCGAGACGACTAGGCTACAAAATTATTTCTCTATTCTGTGATTATTTCACATGTGACCATGTTTTTAAGATGAAAACATACTCAGTTGCACTCACTAATTTTGTGCTGTTTTTGCAATGCTATAAATGCTAAATGCGCATTTTTTCAAGTAATATTTACGGAGAGGGGAAATCCGACAAATAATGGCATAATGGTAATGGCCCGCCCGCCCGCATCAACTTTAGGTGAAGCCCCGGATGAGAAACTAATATGCAACAAATAGTGGCCTGAACTCGCTGAACTGGTGCAGGTCTGCAGGACAGAGCTCAGCTGCTAGGGGCAGCTGATCTGAGAAGTGAGAAGGCATGTTTTATATCTAGGATTGTAGTTTATGTCCTCTCTGATAGTTTGTTGCATGTATATATTAAGTTATCAAAGGAGCAGTGCCACGGTTCTACTGTGCATCCAAAATATGCGCGAACTTGAAAAACTGTCTGCCAACAATTAATCAAGTTAGGAGTGAAATACGATATACTATTTATAATCCCTTCGTTATGCAGGACATCCTTGCTTTGTTTTAAAAATTGAAGGCTGCTGCTGCATCTTTTCAATCATGTAGCATTAATTTTAAACGTTTCTTTGCACCATTTATTTTAGCCAATCAGCGCCGTGACACTGCCCCTTTAAATTGTTTCTATAGTTCTGCCATGTTTCTGTCCCTGAGGTTATTAAGGGCAGTTAATGCGGACAGCTAGCCCAGTAAGCGAGACCTCACCGTGTGGTTATTTTTATATTTTTATAGTGGAAATTCCTTTCAATTTGTATGGACAACCTGACTGGCTCAGAGAGATCTCACTTGAAGAAGGCAACATCTCACTTGAACAAGCAACATCTCAGTTATACCGGGAGGATATTTTGTGGCTATACAAAACACTAACCAGACTGACTTGGTCAAAATAAAGTCAAAACAACAAAATTGGTCATGACAATATTGTCAAAACAATAGAGAGAGACGCAGAAATTTCCAACAATGAGTGCATGCTACTGACATTGTTATTGAAACTGAGTACCAAGCAACATGTTTGAAAATTGAAGATGCAAATTCTTGATTAATTTTGTATTATTTTAGATTAAATTAATTTTTAAACCTAACTGTACAATCAAGTTACATGTAATAGAGTATTATTATAACTTTGTAGCTCCATAGGCTATTCTTTCGCTGTTCCAGGTTTTGATCCACAAAGTTATAGAGAAAAGTCATTGTTAGTTCTGCCAATTAGGTCTGGCAAGTGCTAGTGTACCACTACACCACTACTCCTGCGATTTGAACATTCAAAAGATCTTGTATTAATCTCTTGTTCACATGACTTACATCACCCTGAATGAGAAATGTCCATTATGCTTATAAAATAGTGACAGTACGTATCATTAGAACACACGTTGAAGAAATATTGACAGAGTCACATATCCCACAATCCGATTACAGGGAAATTTACTTTAGAGTAGAACCCAAACCCAACTGTTCAGGTAGACATTTATATGTTAACCCATTGAGTGCCAGCACTCTCCTATTGACGAGTAAAATTGTTGGTGTTAGACACTTACATAAATGGGTTCATTATGGTATGTCAGATAAATTGACTCGTGCAATTTTCACATACGAGTTCTGGCATTTATAAGCCCTAGTTTGAAACCAACTTTAAAGCCTACAACAGGTAATTGCAGCCAACTATCAAGTTAACCCATTAGGCTGCCATGCACCCAAGCTTGTTATTTTACTTTCAGACCCTCTTAATGGCAGGCAATTTTACTTCTCAAGGGGAATTTTACTTCTCTTGTGTTTCTTAACTCCCAAAGTTTCATTTTACACCTTTCATTCCTACAAATAATTTTAGAACTACAACTCTAATGACCGTGGGATTTATAAAACTCTGACAAATTATGTTTGGCCAGATGAATATTGTAAACATCTGAATATAAGCCCTGGGCTTATATTTGTTTGTACTTTGTAAGCATTTTTGATGGACTGAGCTGTTGGAATCCTGGCCCTCACTGCATTAATAAATACCTGTCGAGGGGCTTGCATTAGAGGTGGCTTATATTCGGAATCGCCCGAGTAAATATGGATGGTGGGATTATACATAGGGGGGGTGGGAGGGGGGGGGGTGTTATATGTTGGCGGTTATATGTTTATGGTAATTGTTTGATTGCAATGGGTATTGAATGGTTTGAATCTGATATCTTTGGCCTAGCAAAACCTTTTTTTCACTTGTCTGTCATGAATTGACAATTTAATAATACAACTACACAGTAATTATAAATATTAACTGCTACAAAGAAGTAAAGAACCTGGCAAAGATATCACTCAAAATTTGTCAGGGAAAATTTACTAATACTAAATAAATATAAGTGTACAGTGTAAAGGACTCCAAAATCATACGCAGCCTTAAAACCCTACGAACACGTTGATCAGAATGATTTTCATATAAATATTTGGTTCACATAATAAAATTATAGCAGTCAACAAGACAATAAATCATATTGAAATATATAATGAGACAAATTCATACAAATTTACCTTCAAAAGAAATATTGTGAAGAGATTCACTGATCTCGTCCATGATTCCGTCGTGAATAAAGCAAAATAATCAAGAAAATCGAACAATGGCTTTGAAAGTTCAGAAATCGACAGAAATTTCAGAAATCGACACGTTTTCTGCGAGGCGCTTCCGCGTCCCGTATTGAGCAACGCACCTCGATTCCCGCGCGTGCGTCACGCAACCAGTAAGCACATCAAAGCGCCAGGGACGAGGCTGGATATTTACCACCTGCTATTAACTATTTCTGCCTATAACTATTTATATCACATATTCATGCATGCGCTTTTTTTCATGTTGATATACCATCCCCAACCAACACAGATAAGTTCAATATTATATATTGTATACACTATATTGTATCAATAGTATTGTGCATTATAGACATCAGACATGTTCTTGCAAAAACGCCGTGCTCATTTGCATATTATACATGTTTCCCACGACCCAGATCTGATAATTGTCAACTATTATAGTTCTCAATATGCCACCGCACGCGTATCATCAGCAGGCTCTGTTTGAGATTCAAAACAAAGTTAAATCACTATACATGCATGCATGAATTTAGTCCACTATCACTGATGTTTTGTCGAAATAAAAACGGGTTTAATAACGTGTTAAACAAGACAATAATATTGTGTGATTTG